TAATTTGTTATATAACACTCCAATTATCCATAACCAAATTAAAAATGCATGCAGATATATAAGCAAGGTCCAGAAATTCAGCACAGGAACAGAATATTAAAAACTTTCAGAGAGGGCTGGCGAGATAGTTCAGGAGTCTAAAGCACCAACTTAGGCAAGCTTAGGTAGGTGCAGGAGACTGTGGTTTGATCTCCACATGCCAAATGTCACAGCAGCCCTACCCTCAGGGTGGACTGAGCTGCACCCCCCCCCAAAAAAAAAGCTGTCAGAGAAAAGAAACAGATCACTTATAAAGGAAAGCTCATCAAAATCATGGCAGAATTTTTGAAAGAAACTCTCAAGAAGAGCTTGGAGTAAACTATTTCAAATCCTGAGAGAAAACAACTTCCAACCCTGCAAAACTATCTTTCAAAATTAATCTCCATTAACATACTTCTATGACAAAGAACAACTGAAGAAGAAAAAAAAAGAACAACTGAAGAAATTTATGATCATCTAAACAACACTAAAAAGGATATTTAGAGATATTCTAGACAGATAAAAATGGCCACAATTCCAAGAACAAGAACAAAAAGGAACCAACAGGCAGAACAAGCAATTAAACAAAAGGGGAAAGTGGAGAACAAACAGCAGTAAAGTAGCATGACAAAGAGAATCCAACACTTAGCAGTTATAACCATCAATGTAAATGGCCTCAATTCATCAGCCAAAAGAATTAGACAGGAAGAATGGATGAAGAAAAAGATCCAATAATATTCTATATATAAAAATACATTTAAAACATAAGTATATAATTCTTTATGCCTATTTTTAAAATATATTCTAATTGTTAAATGTTTTTTATCATATTCTGTAGGGACTTAAAGTTCAACATATTAATAGTTGATGAAAAATATCTGTTCCATGTTATGCCTAAGATGTTTGATATTCAAACAGATAGTGAGGTTAAGCTTAACAGCCTAGGTTGTATGGTAATAACAATAATCTTCTCTTCTGGATGGTTAACAACCTAAGTTTTCAGACCAAAATTAGAGAAAAAGGAGGGCTGTATGGAAAGCCAACATTTTGGCCCT